CGGAAATCAGCGGGAATCGGCAGGCGAGCGTGCCTCCACAGAGGAATCGGAGTCCCGAATCGGAATCTGAACTCGAATCGAATCGAATCCTGCGGGAGTGCTGCCCTGCGGGAGTGCTGCCCTCCGACGCTGGAGCTCGCCAGGGGCTCCCCCCCCCCGCCCCGCGCTGCAGGGAGCGGAGGGAGCCCGCTGGAGCCCCGCGGGGCCCGGCGAGGGGCGGCGAGCAGCCCGGGAGGCCTGCGGCGTGGTGTGTGTTCGGTGCGGTGCTCCCGTGGCTGCTTGCTTCGGCTGGTGCTGCTGCCCGCTGCTGCGCTGCGGTGCTGCGCTCGTGCGTGCCCGCTGCGCTCGTGCGTGCTCGTGCGGCGTGGCCCGTCCCCCCGTGCGGCCCTCGCCCCCTCCCCCCCTCCGCGGCCGCCCCCCCCCCCCGGTCCTCTGCCCATCTCTCCTGCACTGTGGCACGAGGCGCGGAACGGTGTCCCCGTTCGCAGCTCCTCCCGCGAGCGCACACGACCCCTGCCTACTCCAGACTTCGTAATAAAGGGAGGGGGGTCTCATTTCGGGGGGGGGTCTCTTCCAGGCTATCTTGGAGGGCCTGGGGGGTCTGGGGACGATGTTTTGGAGGGTTCTCCCACGGGGGAGGTCTGAAATGGCTTGTCTTGGAGGGTCCAGACCCCCTCCCTTTTATTACGAAATCTCGAGTAGCCGCCGACGCAAAAAAAGTGTTCGTTCTCGTCTGCTGTGCTCGTGGTTGCCTGGCGGTTGTGTTACTGCTGCCCGCGCCGAGAGCCGCAGGGGGCCCCGAGGTCAGAGCACTCGGCTTCGTAATTCCACCCTCGTTCCACAGTAGGGCCGCCAGAGGTAGCGGACTGCTTCGCCATCTTGCCAGCGCACCTCTGACGTGCACGGCTTTTCTGTTGTTTTGTTTTTTCTCTCTCTCTCTCTCTCTCTCTCTCCAGGAGTGCGTTTCTTTATTTTCGGCGATCGGAGGCGTCCAGGAATGCCTAGGGATGACCGGGGCCAACTAGGAGCAACATGTAGGTGGCGATCTGCCCCACACCGCCTGTGTACACCACAATGTTCGCGTGCACCACAGCGCGCGTGTACACCACAGCGCCTTCGCACACCGCGACAGCCGTGTGCATCGCAGCGCCTGTGTACACCAGAGTGTTTGCGTGCACCACAGCGCCGGTGTACACTTCGGCGAATGTGCACACCACAGCAACACAGCGCCTGTGTACACCACAATGCTTGCGTGCACCGCAGCACCTGTGCACACCACTGCGCCTGTCTACACCACAACATGCGCGTGCAACGCAACGCCAGTGTACACCACAGTGCCTGCGTGCACAGAACAGGTAGAAGGAGCATTTAGGTGAGAATCTGCTTCGGACGGCTAAACACCAGGCCTGGCAAGTGCTGATAATAGAATGAGACGTTCTTCCCTCCTCCCTCCTCCTCTTCCACCTCCACATCCACCTCCTTTTCCTCCTCCTCGTCCTCCTCCTCCTCCTCCTCCTCCTCCTCCTCCTCCTCCTCCTCCTCCTGCTCCTCCTCCTCCTCCTCCTCCTCCTTCTCGCTCACCCTTCCCCCCTGTCGTGCGGGTCGGCGCTACAGCGCACGTACGCATCTCAGCTTGAACCGCAGAATGGTCGATTGAATCCGTCCACTTGGTTCTCGGACGGCCAATTCTGCTGGAGCTTCCTAAACGCAGATGGGAGGAGAGTTAAGATGATGAGGCACGACTCGGGAGGACTTGTAGATTCCAGCGGCGCTCCATTTTCCATAAGGACTCCTTTCCATATCCGATATAAAAAACAATTGTTTCCTGTGGAATCCACTGGCGCTCCATTTTGTCACAAGGATTCCTTGTTAAATTCTATAAGCAACAATGGTGCTCTGTTGCACACGGTTGCTGCGGAGCACGCAGGCGCCGTGGTGTACACAGGCGCTGTAGTTCACGCAGGCATTGTGATGTACACTGGTGCTGTGCTGCACACGGCTAATGTGGTGTATGCAGGCGCTGTGGTGTACACAAGCGCTGTGGTGATCGCAGGCACTGTGGCCTACACTGGCGCTGTGTTGCACGCGGCTGCTGTGGTGTACATAGGCGGTGTGGTGTACGTAGGCGCTGTGGTGCACGCAGGCACTGTGGTGTACACAGGCGCTGTGGTGCAGATCGCCACCTACATGCTACTCCTACCCGTCCTCGGTCATTCTTATGCGGTCCCACACGCCGCCGGAGCGAAACGTGACGACATCGGCCCCCTCCCCCCCCAGATGACGGCCGCCATCGGCCAGAATAGAAAGCAGGCTCCAGCCGCGTCCGCGCGCACGACGACGATGAGCGACGAGCGACGAGCGACGAGCGACGAGCGGCGAGCGACAATGACGACGACCACGACGACGACCACGACGACCTATGTGTACGCCTACGCGGAACCCGATGCACTGGGGGCTATAATGCCCGTTATGCCCCAAGCAATAAAGAAACACGCTCCAGAACATGGCCCTCGGACCTCTCAATCCCTTTCGAGGTTCGAGGCTTGCTGCTAACAAAGAAAGCAGGAACTATCAGCAGGCAACCGTTCGAGTACGACGAGGAGGAGGAGGAGGAGGAGGAGGAGGAG